CAAGTGATTATACTGATAATAAAAGCATGTTCCAAGCACCTGAATTGAGCTTTTACTGAGCTAGATTATTACATATATGAAACAGGAGAATTGGTAGTATTCTTAGTTAAATTATTTTATATGAGCAAATATACACAAGAGAGAAAAGATCAGTAAGAATCCACAATCTTACTCAAGCCACATTTATAAAATTTTACCCTTTCCAGAGTTGGCAAAAAAAAGTCCTATTTTAAGGTCAGAAGATAAATTTATACATTGATAGTTTTCAATGCATTAAAATGGAAATGTCACGTGAAAATCAAATGAAAATTTAAATCAAGTTAGGCTCTAAAGCACATCTGTGAGACGAGCTACCGTGTATACAGGCATATAATCAACTATTAATGAGTGTAAGAAGTTGAGGTCAACTGATTGTTGATTACAGAGATAAAGACAGATGACAGCAAAAAGGATTAGTTGTTAAATATTATCAAAATTTATTTCAGTTTTCAGACACGAAGAAATTAATTTCTATTAGTAATGTACCTCCATATCTATAAGCAATGTTTATAGGTAGGTGAGGGTGATATTTTGTTCATTTCCTCTGATTCTGTATGTCTACTTTGACAGGAAATTATTCTGATATACCAAAAATTAATATTCTCTCAAATAGACATCACTTCTCACATGAACTGCTAATCCCTAACCATTCATCCCTAACCTCATGTGACTTGTAGAATTCAAAATGAAGGAGCAGGAGCTAGAGTTGTGGCTCAGCAGTAGAGCACTTGCCTCACACATGTGAGGCACTGGTTTGATTCTCAGCACCACATAAAAATAAGTAAATAAAATAAAAGTCCATCAACAACTAAAAAAATAAAATAAAATGCAGGAGTACTTAAAATATTCTGTAAAATCAGTCAGGCTATGTGTATAAGGTATATGTGAAACATAAATAAATTTCTTGTTTAGACTTTGGTCCCATTCCTAAGGTATCTCATTATGTATGTGTCATATTCCAAGATAAAAGAATTGTAATCTCAGCAACTCAGGATGCTGAGACAAGAGGATTACAAATTCAAAGCCAGCCTCAGCAATTTAGCAAGACCCTAAGCAATTTAGTGAGACTTGGTCTCAAAATAAAAAGTTAAAAAGGCTGGGGATATGGCTCAGTGGTTGAGCGCTCCTGGGCTTAATTCCCCAGTACACACCCCCCAATCTGGCCAAAATGTTTCAGATTTTGGATTAGAGATGCTCAACCTGTAATGTATTTTAAAAGTATCCCTGGAAAACTTGATGCTGATTTTGTGGGCCATCTATATCTTACTAATTTATTTTAATGAATTAATATGTGATCCTTAAATCTGCTTATGTAAATTTAATAGCTGATATTTGGTTTTAAGTGACAATGTAGTAAAAAAAAATCAGTAACATTTTTGTTTTTACAGTTATCTTATTTAAGTACTTTAAAAAATTACTGAGTATGTAATAAAGAATCTCTAGCACCGATATCCTATTCAAAAAAATTATTTAGACAATGCATCATGATAAACATAATGAAAATTATTTTACAGCTTTATTTTCCTAATTGAATGCAACAAACTCTGGGGGATCTTCTATGCACCAGCAACTGTCCCTGGCACTGAGCATACAAAAATAAAACAGTCCATGCCCTCCCTCCAGAAGCCTAAAGACCAGAGGAAAAATAAATGCTTAAATCAATAAATAATTTTAATACAATGTGGTAGAGGTAGACACAGAAGGGAGAGGCTCTTAACCTAAGTGAAGGGAGATGAGGGACTGGATAGAAGGCACAGGGGAAATCATCATAAGAAGGACATCATGATGATGCCTGAGCAGAGTCTTGAAAGATGTGCAGGCACTACCAGATACAGAATGAGGTGAAAATATCAACAAGTCATAAAAGTGTGAAATAGCGTATTAAATCATAGGAAACACAAATCAAAATTTTGAAAAACTGTGTTCTACCAGCACCTAATGGCCTTATGTGATTGTGGTTCCATAAAACTTTGCCATTTCAACCTCTATATGCTTATAGTAGGGGGCAAGTAAACACCATTTGCAGGCTATATCCATCTATAACATGGAAAGGGACCTGAAAATGAAAAATGGCTACCACAAAAAAATCTATGTGTCAAAAGCAGAAGCTAATAACAAGAGAGAGAGAGAGAGAGAGAGAGAGAGAGACAGACAGACAGACAGACAGACAGACAGACAGAGACAGAGAATAAAACTGCACAATAACCTAGAAACATTTAGTGTAGGGTTATTCAGTTCTACATAGTTTAAAACTCCCTGTGAGAACAAACTGCATAACAATACATTCTTAATAGACGAAGGACCTAGAGTCACTGAGATAATGTCATTTGTTATGGACCTTGTTTATAAGGCAGAAGGCTGTACAATAAATATACTCAGAAAGATCCAATATTATTAAAATAAAATCTACCAAGAAAGCTACCAATCATTACCTGTGAAAGTCATCCTGTGGGCCATATCATTTCCCAAACATACCAAATATAAGACATTATAACACAAATATTAAAATTTAGAGATACATAAAGAGTCTTTGGATAGAAAATATTTAGGGTCACATATTGTGAGAAAAGAAAAAGGCTATCAAGCCTGGTTTATTACATGCATTAACTCTTTTCATTTTTACTTGACAAGATTTCTATTTCAAAAGCTTATTTCATCCAATATCTTCAAACATAAAAAGTTTCAATAAAAATAAATGTCTGGGGCTGGGGTTGTGGCTCAGTGATACAGCGCTTGCCTGGCATGGGTGAGGCAATGAGTTCAATTCTCAGCACCACATATAAATAAATAAAATAAAGGTCCATTGACAACTAAAAAATATTTTTAAATAAATAAATAAATTTCTGTTGATGAAGTAAAATATTAATGAAAAGCTATTTTATATACTAAAAGAATGGACCATATAGTCTTACACTTTACGATAAACTACAGTATATTAATTCAACCCTCAAATTAGGCAGAAAATAAAGGTAATCCATAAAATATTCTACTTCCTTACATTGCCAAGAAAGGTATGTGCTATAGGTCAAATGCTATACCCAAAATATCAAGATATAAAAATATTTAAATGTCAAAAACATGAGACAGATTAGTCAATCTTGGGTGACTATAGTGAAACTAAATGCTTTACTACATCAACTACTCTGTTCTCAAGGACCTGCTGTTAGAATAGCTAAACACATCATCATATTTTATTTTTTTATTAAATGTTTAAGTTTTTGCAGTAAGCATACTATACACCATCTATGTCTATGAACCTATAGATTTAATCTAAAGTCATCTAAATTCATAACCTTTCAAAACCACTGATCCATATTCTCTTTTTTCACTTACAGTCTATATATTCTGAATTAAATTTTACACATTCCTTTCCTCTTCAGAAAATCTTTATCAGGTTTACCTAAAAGTCTGCTAGGACACCAGTATCCTAAAACACACCATGTAGTTTAGGTTCTTTATTTCACATTGAATAAATGAATTCAGCAATAACATTTATAGAGAAACACTCCAGTTTCTATGGATTTACACAATTTTATATATTTATTTTGATAAATGATATGGTTAAAACTAGGAAAAACTGTGGTGGAGTACTGATTTATAACTTCACAAAAACAATTATTTGTAATAATTAAAGCATGAGAGCTTTTAAAATTCTTTTTCCCATAGAATACAGCAACCCAACTTTTTTTTTTAACTGTTCTTGGCCAATGAAACCTTTACATGCTAAAAATTACACTTCATAAACCATTATTTAAATGTTCATAGTGCAAAAGTTTTTAAGTAATTTTCTAAACCTTGATATCAAAAATTAAAAGCATAAAGAAATTTTCACAAGAAAACATTTGAAGCATTATTCAATAATGATTATTTAAGAGTTTTTATTTAATAAATAATTCTGTTCATTGAATTATATCATTTGGCATTTGTTTAGAGAAAAAATGTTTATGTGGACCAAGGCAGTAAAAAAGTTTCATAAGCAAATCCATGTACTGGATTTGATGACTTAGGACTGTATTATTACACTTAATCATATTGTGAAACAAAGCTTTACCATATTTATCTATGTCCCAAAGTATATAATCATATTTTCATAATTTCACATGCTCTAGAATAAAGCTGCCAAAGATCAAGGTTCACTGTCAATAAGAGATCCTTTGATTATTACGAAGAAAATATCCATGATGCTCATATTTACCAAAATAACTTTCAATTAGTTGTATCAGTATTTCAGTTTTAAACAGAATAAATACTTTTTAAAATTCTCCTTTTCTAAATAAGCCTCTTCCCCCAAGTTGAGACACATCTGCCATTTTCAAACTTTTGGTGAAAAGACTATTGAAGAGTCTACAATAGCAGTGTGTAATTTTCGTTACCCCAAGGAAGTACTTACTATTTTTTTTTTTTTAAGTAGGAAGGATACTTTTATGACTTCCAAGTCAATTCAAAGGAAACTCTTAATGTGAACCTGATTTGTGCTTTGGGTAAAATAAGGGTTCATTAGAAGATAGAATTCCAAATAAACTTCAAGTGACAATAACTTTAAAATGGACCTTTTCCATATAATAGAAGAAAAAAGTAGTCTCTGTATTCAGAACAAGTCACTCCGATCAGCCTAATTACAATGGACATTGAGACCAAGGACGAAGAAGAAACGTCCCAAAGCTCTATTCTACCCCAAGTTTGTTGCTAATTCAGGGACGACCCATAAATGTTCTTCCTCTGCAAACTTAGCATTGACCCCTGGAGTCTGACAACCCATAAGAAACAAATGCGAAGATAACTTTTCAAAGTTGGGGGAGGGAATGTATGAGAACTGACACTCTTTGCCCTCTGAAACACTGCACATTTACTTTTGACAAAATAAATAACTGGAAGCAAAACCGAGATTCAGAAGGAACTTTGCCGCGTGCACCGGTAGAGCTCCTCAAAGACCCCTCAAGAAAAGTGTGCTGGGGGCTCACCTTCCATGTCGCCGCCGGGCTCCGCGGGTCTGGAGCAGCCACTCTGGCTGCCCGGCTGCTCCACGTGCTCCTGCCGTCCCCGGGACGCAGCACGCAGCTGGCGGGAGATTCCTGACTCGGGGAGTCCCCGGGATCTGGCCGCCGCGTCGGCGCAGATTGAAGGGGCCCCCGGAGCCAGCGACCCGGTGGTGCGCTGGGTTACAGCGGCGCTGGCTGGCGGTGACTTTAAAAGACGCTCGAGTTCACCGCCGAGCGCCGTAGGTTTCCGCACCTTCAGCCGGTTTTGAACGACAAACCCGAGGAACCCCCGGTAGCATGGAAGTAGCGCATCTGTGAATGTCTCAGAAGGTCTATTTTTGAAGGATAACGGACGAGAGAGTAAAGTCACCTGGAGAGGGTGTCTGCTTTGCTCTCTTGGCCAGCTCAAGTTCACAGAGGTTGTGTCTTAAATTGAAAGACTCAAATTTATTTATTTATTTTTGTCTAGATGCAGGGATGATAGCTTGAAAAAAACCCTCATTGAGAACTTTATTTTCCTTTCTGGGAACTATTTGGTTTGTTTGCCATTACTCATAAAATACTTATACATATTTATTTTCTACTACTCTGCCTCCTCCTAAATAGGAAACTTTCAAAAATACATATATAATGTATCAGAAAACTAAGTAAAGAAAGTGAAGAGGGGAGTGGTGAGATAGTAAAATTAACTGAGAGATGTTAGTTCACAGAGATACCACTCAATATTTTCCCCCAAGATCCTCCCCACTTTATAGATATAAAGCATATATCTGACTGTAGGGAGAAGAAAAGGGAAGTTTCCTTTTTCCTTTTCCTCTCCCTTAGAGTAGTAATGTGTTCCACTGTTGCATATTAAGAATGCCGTTATGGAAAATAATAAAACTTTAAAAATAAAAGGTAACTTTAACCACTCACCAAGATCATAAGGGACATTATTTAGGTGAGTACTAACAATGATCCCCAATGTGTTGAGTGGACAATATACAAATGATTCCACTGCCATCCTTGGTAGAAAATCATATTGTTAGAATATACAAATATATTTGAGGGCTGGGGTTGTGGCTCAGAGGTAGAGCCTTGCCTACCATTCGTAAGGCACTGGGTTCAATTCTCAGCATCACATAAAAATAAAATAAGGATATTGTGTCCACCTATAACTAAAAAAATAAATATTAAAAATATATTTGAGACTTAAAGTTGAGGATTTTTACATTAGCTAACCATATCAAAAGAAACTCATGTTTAGGAGTTAAAATATGCATACTGTATGCTTATGAATTTGTTTAAATAGCCCCTTGGTATAGATGGTCTGCACTATTTATATATTTTTAATTTTTTAAAACTAAGCATCTAACTTGTACTTGCTTTAACATCACAGCATCACAGTAGCATCTCTGTAGCTATGAGTTGGAGTTCTGCAGGATAATATCAATTTCAGAGAAATACTCTAAACACTAGGTTTAATTTTAGTACTGAAAGGGGAAATTTGTTGTTTGTTAGTTTCTAAAAGCAAAAAATAGCACATCAAAATTAGCAGAAGAGGAACTGTAAACTTTCACAGGGATGGTGTCAGGATGAATTGTTATTTGGTTATTAAAAAGTTACAAAGAAACTTTTATTATCATCTATAACAGTTTTCTTGCTATCTAACAATGGAATGCACGGCTACTCTGTAAACATTTAGTTAAGTATTGAGTATTTTAGACTCTACAGTATATTTAAAGGATAAAAAATGGATAAAATAATTTATGTAGCTACTGCATCCTCAAGGTGGAGCATAAATCCCACTCTTTAAGTGTAGCCTGCACACAGTGTCTTCTTTGCAAAAATTACAGAAAGGGGAAAGGGAGTAACTTAAAAAAAACATTTTTAGTTGTAGGTGGATACAATACCTTTATTTTATTTTTATGTGGTGCTAAGGATAAAACCCAGTGCCTCACACATGCTAGGCAAGCACTCTACCTCTGAGCCATAACCCCAGCCCAGGGGGTAATTTTTTAGTGGAAAAAACTGACAAAACCCTACCTTTGCCAGGCAATCAAGGTTAACATCAACAGTGGTAAGGTAGGTTACAGTATGTACCCTTGATAAGATGTAATGTCACATAATTTTACCTCTGTGGTCTTCCTCTCAAAACCCCACAATCCTAGTCTAATAAGAAAAAACATCAGACAATTTCTAATAGAGGCTTTCTACAAAATACTTGATCACTTAAGTCCAGGTCATGGTCATCAAAAACAAGGAAAGTCTGAGAAACTGTCATAGCAAAGGGAAATCTAAGGGGACATGACACTGAATGAAGTGTGAGATCCTGAATGGGCCCCTGGATCAGAAACACTGAGGTTAAAAACTAAGGATATCTGAATCAACCATAAACTTCAGTTAATAGTAATGTATTGATTTATTGTGTGGAAATATACTATACTAATGGAAGATGTCAAATAACAGGAAAAACTGGGTGAGGATCCATGAAAATCCTACACTATCTTTGCAATTTTTCCATAAATGGAAAACCTCTAAGTTTATTTTAAAAGAGTGGATGGGTACTTTCAACAGACAACTAGCACACATTTGAAGAAGACTTAGCAGAGCCACCCTGTATTGCATGGGTATCACAAGATCAATTACTTTATGGTAAGTGGCAAGTCAGTAAAACACTGTAGATATATAATGTTTGATTAAAACTGGAATGACAAACTTCTAGGGAACCGAATACCTAAATTTGTCTTCATCATCATCACCTTAAAAAGGGAACAGTTGAGACTAAACCATGAATCTAGACAGGGCAACTGACAATGGGTGGATCTGACTCATTGAATCACATTTCATGGCTTAGTCTATGTAGGCAAAATTAACAGTGACTAAAAACGAAATTACTGACAAAGGTTGCTCCTGGACCGTCTGAGAGAGTCCAAATACTGACTCGGCTCTAGGGAAATAAAACTGAAAACTCTTGATCTCACCCAAAATAACCATTCTGCACCCTGTCTGAACCTTGGGCTCTCTACCTACTCAAAACCACTACTGAGGGTGGCGTCCCGCTGCTAAGAAGTAGACAACACATAGGGCCTTTGGGGCCACAAACCTAGTAGGCAAGAAGGAACCATGGACGACGTGGGTGCCATCTGTGGTGACACTCTGGTATTGACTTATCATCCATCCCCTCCGGAAAAGCACAGTTTGGGCTCGTGACTTTCAAATTGGGCCCATTTTCTTAAAGTTACTCCCCAATTAATGGGCTGTCTCCACACCAACGCCCACTTGAAGCTGAAAACCAAGAGTCAACTTGACTATGTACGGAAAGGCCTGGAGGCGCCTTGGTGCACTAGTGTTTCTTCCAGGTCTTGGTTTTGTGGACAGAAAGCAGTTAGGGAAACACTGGTAGTGATTTTGAAGGAGACTGGTCGCAGAGTTGCAGACGCAGTTCATGGGGAAAGGGGCACATGAAATTCCCACGCGGGACGCTGTTTTGTGTGTGTGTGTGTGAGAGAGAGAAATTAATTCTCCCAAGCTTCTCCCTTCCTCTGGTCCTCATGTGATGGTCCTCGGGCCCACGTGTTCTTTTGGAGAGCACCTCAGTCCTTAGTCTACGGAAATCCCCAGCCCGCAGAGCCCTGAATTCGTTTTCCTCGCTCTCTTCTTCGCTTGGGGACCGAGAGCGCGGGAAAATGGCGCCGACACGAGGCGCGAAGGGCAGCACGACCGCCGCCGCACGCGCCTTCCGGTGGGGGCTGCCTCCGCGGTAGCGACGGACGGGTAGAGTCGGCGACCCCGGCGGTTTGCTCCGCTGTGTGGGGGAGCGATGGGAAGGTACTGGGCAGGGGCTGAGGTAGGAAGGAGCCCACCTGTCGACGCCTCCCGCCACTTTAGCCCCTGAGCCGTGATGCGAGCGTGGGCCCTTCTCTCCGCGGTGCTCTGGTACCTCACAGGAGGTGTGGATTGTCCCACCGTGCCCCCAAGTCTCTCTGCCCGAGGTTCCCGGTCCTGCCTCCTCGGTTTCGCCCTACCCTGTCCCACCCTGAGCCCTGGCTCCTTTTCTAACTAAAAAGTCAGTGGTTTCTTTCCTCCGCAGTTGGATGCCAGCGTTCATCCTTACTCAATAAGAAAGGCTTCATTTTTGGCAAGATAGGACACCCAGGTAATAAGGACCTCTTCTCACCGACGGCCTTTCAGGAAAGTCCAGGATGCCATGGACCTGCTAGGGTTGTTCCCGCAGAGGAAAAGGGTGCGAACGTGCACTATGCATCTGCCCTGTGCCCTGCAGTTCGTGAAGATTGCATCTTTTCATCCTAAACAGCGACCCTAGCTAGTTGTATCGCCTTGCCTAGAGCCGCAGAGCTCTTAAGGAGCCAGGATTCAACGCATATCTCTTGCTGTGATGGCAACTCACTTCCAAATGGTTCTGCTGCTTTGCAACGTGGGAGCCCCACCCACAGGGGTGATTTCCTGGGCTGGAAGTCGCTCTGTGTGAACGTCTGTCGTCCCTCCCCTTGTTAAGTAGATCTCCTATTCATCCTTTAAGGGTCAACTCAAATGTTATTCACTGTGGTGTAACTTTACCATCCTCCTCAAGGAAAGCTAGCCATCCAGCTACTTTTAGATAACTGGGCCTGTTCACAGTATGTCATGTTTGAACCCTCTCCCTCAACACCACCACGGCCACCAAATTGTAGGATAATGCCTTTGTATATTCAGGGCCTGGCATTCAATAGGCTTTAAAATTAATATCTTGGGACAGAATTCCAAGCATACCATCATATTATCAGAATACGTAATTGCTGCAGGGCCTGGTGGCACACGCCTCTGATTAGGAGTCTGGGGCAGGAGGATCATGAATTCATAGACAACCTCAGCAACCTAACAAGACCTGTCTCTAAATAAAATATAAAAAGAGTTTGGGGATGTGGCTCAGTGGTTAAGCGCACCTGGGTTCCATTCCCAATACAAAAGAAAAGCAAAAGAAACAAGCAAAAAACATAATTGCAGAACACTGTCCTAGAATGCCTCCTATGGGCTTAATTATTGTGCCCAACAAAGGAAATTTACAGTG